TTGTTATCACCACATCATCTTATTTTCACAAGGTAATCTGTGCCTGTAACTCCCCAATATTATTTATTATTTTCTATGCATGCACATACCATGTATAGTAATCCTGATTTAAACCCCCTTGCTTTCTCCCTTTTTCTGACTTCAGCTATTGACATATTATTGTCTTTACTACTGTCTGTCTCTCAATATTCTTCTCTAATATTCTTTGCTGATTCCCATATCTCTGCCATGATAGTTTAGAACCCTCCAAATTACAGTATCAAATTGCTCCTGAAGGAATTCAGTGCCAGCTCTCTTCAGGTACAACCTGTCTGTTTTTGGACAGATGTTATTTCCCCCAGAGCTAGTCCCAGTGTCCCAGCAATTTAAAGCCCTCCCTCCTGCACCATCTTTCCAGCCACACATTCATCTGTCTTATCCTGCTATTTCTGTACTCCCTTGCACATGGCCTTGGGAGTAATCCAGAAATTACATCTAAGGTCTTGCTTGTTAATATTTCACCTAGCTCCTTAAATTCTGGTTGAAGAGCCACATCATCCTTTCTCCCTATGTAATTCTTACTAATGTGGACCACAACCTCTTGCTGTTCAGCTTCCCCCACAAGAATGAGCTGCAATTACTCTGTGACGACCAGGGAGACAACATATCATCCTGGGCGTATGTCAACAACTTGCAGAAATGTAGATGGTTGACCTCCCAAAAACCATAACCATCTTCCGTTAAGGTATTCAAGAGGGCATTGGATGATTATTTGACTAGCAATAGCATGCAGTGATGTGGGGCAAAAGGCAGGAGATTGGCACTACATATGAGTGCAAGCACAATAGGCCAAGTTGCTGTCTTCTACGCCACAATAATTCTATGATTCCATATGACTCCCATGACAAAGAGCTTTCCCCCAGTCCCATTTACTCCAGTTGTCCTAGAGTTGCTTGATGCCAAGGGCAGTCATTCTAAAGTCACCCCTAGAGTTCAGATCTTTTGTCCATGTTTGGATCAAGTCTGTAACAAGGTCAAGATCTGATTGGCCCTGGCAGAACCCAAAGTATGAAACAGTGAGCATATTATTCCTTTTCAAATACTATTTGATGGCACTGTTGAAGATGGCTTCCATCACTGTGCTGATGATTAAGCCAAGTTAGATTTCTCCTGCTTTCTTCATATAGAACATAGGGGGACAGTTTTTTTTTTACATTATATGCATGCCAGTGTAATAGTTACACTGGAACAGGTTGGTTAGGGGTGTAGCAAGCTCTGGAACGCAAGTCTTCAGTACTTTGCCAGAGTGTGGTCCTTAGCAGATGCAATTTCTTGGGCATTTGGTGATATCACGTGGAGTGAATCAAATTTTTTGAAGATGGTATTTCTGATGCTGGGACTTCTGGAGAAAGCACTCATGGATCAGCCAGTTGACACTTTTGGCTGAAGGATGGCAATGCCTCAGCCTTATCTTTTGCACTGAAATATTGAGCTCCCCCATTCTTGAAGACGGACATGTTTATGGAGATTTCTCCTCCTTAGTTGTTTAAATGTCAAGCAATATGCTGGACAAGATGTGGCAGGACTGCAGAAATTAGATCTGATCCTTTAGTTGTGGGATGACTTGGCCCTGTCTATTGCGTGCTGCTTCTACACTTGGCATATAAATAGTCTTATGTTGTAGCATCGTCTGGTTGACGCTTCATGTTTAATGTACATACTGTTGCTCGTGGCGTGTCTTCCTGCACTGTTCACTGAAATAGAGTAGGTCTCTCTGCATGATAATGATGGGAAAGTAGGAGATGCTGGGTCATGTGATTGCAAAGTGTGATTTGAGTACAATTCCACTGCTGATGGCCCAATGGATTCCCAGTTGCAAATTGTTAGGTTTTTTCATTCATTTGTGGGATGTGGGATGTGGGCGTCCCTGGCTAGCCAGCATTTATTGCCCATCCCTAGTTGCCCTTGAGAAGGTGGTCATAAACTGCCTTCTTCAACCACTACAGTCCACCTGCTGTGGGTTGACCCACAATGCCATTAGGGAGGAAATTGCAGGATTTTGACTCAGTGACAGTTAAGGAACGGCAATATATATACATTTCCAAGTCAGGATGCTGAGTGGCTTGGAAAGCAACTTGAAGGTGGTGGTGTTCCCCTATGTCTGCTGCCTTTGTCCTTCTAGGTGGAAGTGGTTGTGGATTTGGAAGATGATGTCTGAAGATCTTTGGTGAATTTCTGCAGATAGTAGTCACTGCTGCTACTGAGCATTGGTGGTGGAGGGAGTGAATGCTTGTGGATGTAATGCCAATCAAGCGGGCTGCTTTGTGTTGGATGGTGTCAAAGTTTTTGAATGTCATTGGAGCTGAACTGATCCAGGCAAGTGGGGAGTATTCCATCATGCTCCTGAGGTAGGTTTGAAGTCTGCCCCATGTTACAGTTCAGTGGGTCCACATATGGAGCAAATACTCAATATGAAGATGGAACTTAGTCTCCACAAGAAATATGTGGTGACTACTCTTATTAACATTGTCATAGACAGAGGCATGTGTGACAAGTAGATTAATGAGGTTGTTCCCCTACCATCTGCCACAGATCTAGTCTAGCAGCCCTGAACATGGCCAGTTTGAACTGTAATCATTGTTACTGAGCCATTCTTGGTGATAGACATTGAAGTTCTCCACCCAGAGTACATCCTGTGACCCTGCCACTCAGTGGTGATTAATATGGAAGCGGCAATATATGGTGATCAAACACTGCCATTTGTCAGAAGTATTCATCTGATTTGCTGACGTCCTTTACGGAAGGAAATTGCCTTTACCATGGCCTACATGTGACTCCAGATCCACAACAGGTAGGACAGGACACACCCAGGGATGGTGATATTTGGGATGCCATCCACAAGATATTCACAATAATATGACTATGTCAGGCTATTGCTTGATTAGACAGCTCTCCAAACTGTGGGATAATCCTCACAGGTTGCTGGAGGAAGCTTTGCAGAATGAACAGGGCTGTTTTCGTTGTAGATTCCAGTACCTGGGTTGATGCCAGGTAGTGTAATTTGTGGTTTGATGTAACTGAATCCTAGAGATTTGGAAACTTAATTGCTGTGAAAACTGTTGAACGAAATTTATATTGCTATATCTTTTCAGAAGGCAGTTAAGAGCAAATCACTTTGTCTTATGGACTGGACATACCTGGGTATTTTCCCACATTCACAGGTAGGTCCCAGTGTTGTAGCTGGAAGTACAGTTAGTTCTGCAGCCTTCAGCATTACAGCCATGATGTTGTCATGCCCCAAAGCTTGTCCAGTATATTTTGTTGTCATACAGAGTGAATTGAATTCATTGAAGACTGGAAGCTATGATACGGGAAACTTCAGGAGGTAGACATGGAACATCCAAAGGGCACTTTGCACCAAAGATGGTTACAAATATTCAGCTTTGTCCCTTACATTGACATGCTGGCTTCCCCATCACTCATAATATGGTTAAGTTGAGGAGCCTCCCATCCCACTAGCAAGTTAATTATCATCTATGACAGGACTGTAAGATTGTGGCTCAGTGCTAGATGTATAATTTGAGTATATTAGGAAAGACAGAAAAGGACAGGTAAGCAAATGTGAAGAGTAATGAGATTTAGTAATCGGAAAATGCAAAGTAAGGTGACTATAGCGATGCACATGAGCCTTCACACACAGCGATGTGATAATTAGCAGGTCATTTTTCTTACATGATTCTGGGCGAGAGATAAGTATCAATCAGGGCCCTACAAAAAAGCCCAACAAAGAGATGTTTACAAACTGTTGAATATTGAGGTCCCTAAAAAACAGAAATCTCCTAGCATTTATTGTACAGCATGAAATTTCATTTAACAGTTTTCAAAGCAATTAACTCTCCAAACTTCGAGAATATGAAAACAAAGGTAAGAATTATGAAAAACATGGAGGTCATCATGCACATTGAAATTTGGTCAAGCTTATCTGGTGTCAAATAGATCTTATTATCAGTGCATTGTTTTCAAAAATAAGAAGGTTTTGATCTTAGCAGGAATGAAAACTAATCTTCAAATGGAAATAGACAGGGTACAGTGGTCATCCAATCTCATGAGCAGTTATCCTGTGGCCATTGGGTCAGACAATTGACTGACAGAGAAAATAACCTCCCCTCCGAACTATGATCGAACAATAACTGGCAGAGTACTGACCTCGTAGGCAGTTCTTATTATGTGGTCCCCAGAGAAGTTTTCATTAATCCATTTTCATCAAGCAGTTAGAAGATGGACCAGAAGTAAAGGAGGAAGACCTCAGTTCTTAATTAATATCTCAGCGAGAGAGCAGGATGCTGCCCCTGCAACATTACCAAGACCAAAACATTCTGTGCCAACAGCCTATTGTGAACCATCCCCAACTTTTACATTTGTACAATTTCGTTCTCTAATTAACTATCATATCTAAACTGCTGCCTCAAACTCAATAAACTATCAGAAAATTATTTATAAATTGTCAACTGCCTACATTAGGTAACTGTCATCACAAACCCCCTAAAATCAATAAAACATGAATTCAGACAGGAGTATGTCTACGGCTAATGGGTCTGCTCTGCTATTCAGCAATTTGATGGTTGATCTGATTGTGACCTCAACTGAATCTTGTCTACCCCCAATAATCAAGGTCCCCATACATGCTGTTCTTTAAGATAGTGCAATTGGATCATTTATGTGTACCCAAAAGGAGAATGGAGCCTTAGTTGCAAGTCTCATCTGAAGACTGCGCCTCTAACAATGTAACACTCCTTCATTATCATTGTGGGGTGCAATGCACACAGGAGATTTTGTCCTCATTTATCTGGAGTGGGATTTCTTCTTACTCTTTCTTCTTACTCTGGCACAACTTAGTCTCAAATGCCAAAACAACAATAACCAGTGATTAACCACAAAAATTAGAGTGAGGTTTTTATTTTGATTTGGTCCATATGGATAAATGTGAAAAATTAACTTGGAAACTGATCAGACAAAAACACTGCCACAATGTCGTAGTTTATTATAACAATTTCTAAATCACTTGAAGAAGGTTAACTGTGAACAAATCTATATACATAATCAGCTGGCTGATGTGGTCTTGTAAGTCTTTCAAATCAAGCTGCTAAACCATGAAGTGATGTACGAGTTAGACAAAAAAAAACAGAATCATCACATGCTGATAAAAAGTAAACATTTTCACAAATTCTTTGCATCACTATCTTGGTACAAGCATTTTTTTGAAAATTGTTGTTGGGATGCAAATACTGCTAGTAAGGCAGACTCTATTGTCCGTCCTCAAATGCCTTCAGGAAGGTGGTGTTGAGGTGCAATCTCGAACTGCCCAGACCTTGCTGTGTATATGCCCACAGTGCTGTTACGGAGAACGCTTCAGGATTTTGACTCACTGACAGTGAAAGAACAGCAATAGAGTTCCAAGTGAGATAGTGTGAGACTTGGAGGGGAACATGAAAATGAATTTTCTGTGAAGAGTGTTGCTCTTTAGTAGTGAAGCCAATTGTACTTTTGTCTCCATTAATCATTATTCACTGACTTATCCTATCTATTATTTGCTGCAAGTCTAAACTCAACATATGCTTCCTTACCAAAACACTCCTATCTTGTCCATTTATTCCATATTGCAATCTTGTACAACAGTTACTGTTTGGTAAACACCCATTCCCATCTTGGGTAACAGTTATGTTCACAAATCTGACCATTTCTGTGGGAGATCCATTGTATTTTCTAAAACAAGCAATACTTTTATGCAAATCAACATGGCCTCTATAAGAAATATCAGTGCAAATCCCCTATTATTAAAGATTCACCTCCTTCTGGCTGAAGAAATTCCTCCTCATCTCGATTCTAAAGGGTCATCCTTTCAGTCTGAGATTATGCCCTTGGGTTCTAATCTCTCCTACTCGTGAAAACATCTTCTCCACTCTATCCAGGCCTCTCAGTATTCTGCAAGTTTCAATGACATCCCCCCCCTTCATCCTTCTAAATTCTACCAAGTACTGACCCAGAATCCTCAACTGCTCCTCATATGACAGGTTCTTCATCCCCGTGATCATTGCTGCAAACCTCCTCTTGACCCCTTCCAATGCCAGCACATCCTTTCATAGATTACAGGGCCCAAAACTGCTCACAATATTCCAAATGCATTGAGATAAATACGCAAAAAAAAAAAAAACTAGCATAAAGGAATAAGGGAAGGAAAGAGGGAAGCCAAATCAAATGAATGAAGCATTGATTTGGGTTAAATCAAAGAGAAAGTGAACAGAGCTAATTTCCAAATACAAGCTAAAAGATAAACAGACTGCAGGGAACTAGATGACTTTACTCAGAGGTATCTCAGGTGCTCTGTTATCTCCTAAGTGGTAGGAAAAGGACATATTGCACAGTATGCAGAAAATTATGCAAGGGCAGCCAATGATGCAGGAAAGGCTAAAGGACTCTCGTAGCGCAGTGGTAGTGTCCCATCTCTGAGCCAGGAGGCCTTGGTTCAAGTCCCACATGCTCTTTGGGGGTGGTACATGTTGCTGCCACTGTGTGTTGCTGGTGGAGGGAATGAATGCATAATGTGTTAGAATAGGCCAATCAAGTGGCCTGCTTTGCCTGGATGGAGCTGAGATGCTTTGAACGTTGTTGAAATTGCACTCATCCAGGCAAATGAGACACCTAGGGAGGTTGATTAAAAATAACTTGAAGGAAAATCTTGGAAAAGATTACATACCAAAGTTAGCAGCTAGACTTCAGGTTTGAAAATTTTTAGTTCTGTAGCTACATGTCAGAATAGTGAAGGACAGGACATCTAGGAAGCTGAATACATTGCTCAAGAGTGTTTCAATTAACATTAGATGCAACAAGGTCATCTTCAGTATGTATAGCTCTCAATGTTTGCAATTTTGTTTAAAAAAAAATCTCTCCATTTCCAAGGGACAATATTCGTCGTGAGGTAAGAGGTAGACAGCAAGTTAAAACATGGATTAACTTCAAAAAATGTCAAAACGGCGACAACTTGAGCAAATAAAGCAACGCTCAACAAATAAATCACCAAATAACACAATTAGCACTTGAATTATCATGAATTAGAAGAATTTTTCAACGAGGCTGTAAATTTTTCTACTTTAATTTTGTTCTCCTGACAAAAAACATCATGTGACTAGTATGCATTAAGAATTATTTGGCTAATTCTGTTTGTTACATGTTTACCTTGTGCCAAAAGGCTACGAATAACCATGCAGACCCTAGATACATTTCAATCTGTTGTGAGTGATAAACTGTCTCTTTCAAATGGGCACCAATTACTGTGGTCAGCTTTACTTGTTGCCAGTGCTCCACCTTGGCAACTATCCAATACATAATACAGAATTAAGTAAAAGACACCCAAATTGTACAACATAATAGAACAATTCACAGATTAGTCCAACATTGATGTTCTCACTTCACACATTAAATATACTAAATAAATCCTAAAATCATATTTACATATTTTAAAGATTATTTTCGAATCTCTAAACAATAAGAGTTTGATTCCTACTATCAGAATCCTAGATACAAAAAATGTTACTCTGAAACAGACAGACTAGTTCAGTGAAAAGTTAATTCGAATTAATCAATATTGTGGCTTTTTCTCCTTTTCCACACAAAAGTTAATTCTAAAAACAAGATGTGAAAATCATAATTATTCTATCTTTTCTTTCAGTTATTTGTCTGCATTTTTTGCATTGTATTGTGCATAGTTTCAAAAATGTTGCATTGATATTGCAAAGTAGTAATTTGAGAAAAAAACATTATTACTTCAAGTAAATTTTGTAGCGCAGACCTCATGGATGATCATGCGTTATTTATAACTATATTAATGCAAATATGTAAAGAATTAGGAATTTACAATTTTTAGCAGCACACTTTCCTTTTCGGCAGCGCTTAAAGCTGGGCCACTGTTGTCAACATGATCATTTCATGAAAGGACTGAACTAGTCCTTTGTACAGTTCTTCTGCATCAGTCTCTGGACACGACTTCCAAGCAGAACAAGCAACTACAATCCTGTTGGGGTACAAAAAAATTTGCACCATTAAAAGATTATTTCTTTCTTCATTTTTATAAAATGGCACCATGTTTATTCCAGGAGTGAGAAGAATGGAATACTAATTTCACAATGAAACTGTCATTATTCAATTTTTATTCCTCAGATTGATCCCATCCTGAGTAGCTTTCTTTGTTAATAAGACCTAATTGAATGTCTGGGAGTGAGAAAAAAATCAGACAGCACGAAAACATACGAATGAATCTCAATGTTTCGGAAAGGAATCCTAGATATTAAAGTGAGTTAAAACTTTTTTTTTTGTTTATTCATTAAAGGTATGTCACGTGATTTGCCAGGCTAGCATTATTTGCCCATCCCTAATTGTTCTTGAGAAGGCACGGGTGAGCCACCTTTTTGAAGTGAAACAGTCCACCTGGCATAAATACAATCACAGCATCTTTAGGAACGGAGTTCCAGAATCGTGACCTGGACAGTGAAGGAACATCAATATAGTTCCAAGTCAGGACGGCGTGAGACTTGGAGGGGAACTTCGAAGTGGTAGGAGTCCCCAAGCTTCTGCAACTCTTATTGTACTGTGTACTAGTGGTTGCAGGTTTGGAACACATTGCCTGAAGGAGCTTTGGGGAGTTGTTGTGGCACATTTTCTACATGTTACATGTTGTTGCCACTGTGTATTGCTGGCAAAGGGAATGAAAGCATAATGTGTTAGAATAGGCCAATCAAGTGGCCTGTTTTGCCTGGATGGAGCTAAGTTTCTTTGAGTGTTATTGAAACTGCACTCATCCAGGCAAATGAGGCATATTCATGAGTTCTGATTTGCATCTTTTAAATGGTGGAAAGACTCGGGCGGGGGGCGAGGCAGAAAGTTAGGTTACTTGCCACAGAACTCCCAGCCTCTCATTTGCACTTGTAGCCATAGGTATGGCTGGTCCAGTTTTGTTTCTGGTCAATGGTAAGATTGTCTCTTGTTGAAGACCATTACCTAGTGAATGTTAACAGATTTTGGGGTATATGGACATAATTCGGTATCTCAGGAGCCACAAATGGTGTTGAACATGTTTGCAGATAAATGCACAATCCCTACATCTGACTGGATCCAGTGTGCAGCAAGTCAACATCATTGTGAAGCAGACTGGGCGAGAGAGATGAAGAGTCTGTGGTTCTGAACACGACAGCATGAAAGGAAAGCTGCTTCATAAAGAGCAGGACAACACAGAGTCAGCAGCTTCTCAAACAACCTGAGAGAATGAATCAGCAACTTCAGAAAGAAAAGAGCAGAATTGTGAGAGAATGGGACTGACAGTGGGAGATAAACCTGGAAGCAGACAGCCCCTTCAATTTGTTTCTTCCTGTAGGTGCCAAAATGTGACATCACAGGAAAACGGGTAGGTGATTGAGAAGTATTTCTGCTATATCTTTCATTTGGCCAGTTGTCTTAAATCAGGCGATGCTGTTACAGCTGAAGAGTACAGATATTAACCCCTAAAATATTTAACATCAAAATTAATTAACTGAGTAGAATAGAGATGAATAGGTGATGCGTTGCAGCTGTTGTATGTGGGCGCTGGTGGACAACAGTGCAATCTACAGTGACCACACCAGCGACTGGCTGCTCAAGGAAATTCAACTCAGAGTTGATAAGCTGAAGTCTGAGCTATACCCACTGTGACACATTAGGGAGGGGGACAGTTAACTGGACACTGTATTTCTGAAGACAGATCCTTTAGATAATCTACATCAAATTTGGTCCATCGTCAGGGACAGGAGGATGTGACTGCGAGTGAAACCAGTATGGGGATCCGTAATTTAGCTTTGGAGGAGTCTCGGCCTTCATCCAATAGGTCTGAAGTTCTTGCTCCCAGTATGTACGAGGGCACAGGCCACAGGGAAGATGAGAAAACTCATCGGGTCCTAAAGGACATAGCTGTTAGACTGGGTCTGTGGCAAATGATGAGGGAACCAACAAGAGGGAAAAACATACTTGACCTCATTCTTATCAACCTGCCAGCTGCAGATGCATCTGACCATGACAGTAGTGGCAACAGGAACCACTGCACAGTGCTTGTGGAGACAAAGCCCCGTCTTCACCCTGAGAATACCCTCCATTGTGTTGTGTGACACTATTAACGTACTAAATGGGACAGACTTCAAACAGAGCTAGCAACTCAAGACAGGGCATCCATGAGGCGTTGTGGGCCATCAATAGCAGCACAATCTGTAACACAATGGCCTAGCATATCCCACACTCAACCATCGCCATCAAGTCAGGGATCAACCCTGTTTCAATGGACAGTGCAGGAGGGCATGCCAGGAGTCGCACCAGGTGTACCTGAAGATGAGGTGTCAACCAGGTGAAGCTATCAAACAGGACTATTTGCATGCCAAACAGCACAGGCAGCAAATGATAGGCAGAGCTAAGTGATCCAACAACCAACGAATCAGATCTAAGCTCTGCAGTCCTGCCACATCCAGTCATGAATGGTGTTTTTCTTTCTTTATTCAATCACAGGATGAGGGTGTCGTTGGCTAGGCAGCATTTATTGCCCATCCTTAATTGCCTAGAGGGCAGTTAAGAGTCAACCACATTGCTGTGGGTCTGGAGTCACACATAGGCCAGACTAGGTAAGGATGGCAGTTTCCTTCCCCTAAAGGGCATCAGTGAACCAGATGGGTATTTCCTGCAATCAATAATGGATTCATGGTCAGCATTAGACTCTTAATTCTAGATATTTATTGAATTCTAGTTCCACCATCTGCTGTGGCGGGATTCAAACCCAGGTCCCCAGAATGTTATCTGAGTCTCTGGATTAACAGTCTGCTGATAACACCACTAGGCCTCCCCTAGACAATTAAACAACTCAGTGGAGGAGGAGGAGGCTCCACAAATATCCCCATCCTCAAATGATGGAACAGCCCAGCACATCAGTGCAAAAGATAAAGCTGAAGCTTTTGCAGCAACCTTCAGCCAGAAGTGCAGAATGGATGAACCATCTTGGTTCCCTTCAGTACTCCCCCAGCATTACAGGTACTAGTCTTCAACCAATTCAATTCACTCCAAGTGATACTAAGAAATGACTGAAGACACTGGGTACTGCAAAGACTACAGGCCCTGACAACATTCTGGCAATAGTGCTGGAGACTTGTGCTCCAGAACTTGCCACTCCCCTAATCAAGTAGTTCCAGTATAGTTATAACACTAGCATCTAGCTGATAATGTGGAAAGTTGCCCAGATATGTCCCGTACATAAAAAGCAGGTCAAATCGAACTAGGGCAATTACTGCCCCATCAATCTACTGTCAATCCTCAGTAAAGTGAGGGAAGGTGTCATCAAGAGTGTTTTCAAGCAGCACCTGCTCAGCAATAACCTACTCAGTGACGCCCAGTTTAGGTTCTGCCAGGGCCACTCAGTTCCTGACCTCATTACAGCCTTGATTCAAACATGCACAAAAGAGCTCAATTCCAGAGGTGAGTTGAGAATGATAGTCTTTGACATCAAGGCTGCACTTGACAGAGTGTGGCATCAAGGAGCCCTAGCAAAACTGGAATCAATGGGTATCAAGGGGCAAACTCTCCAGTGGTTGGAGTCATACATGACACATTGGAAAATGGTCGTGGTTGTTGCAGCTCAGTCATCTCAGCTCCAGGACATCTCTGCAGGATTTCTTCAGGGTAGTGTGCTAGGCCCAACCATCTTCAGCTGCTTCATCAATGACCTTTCCTCCATCGTAAGGTCAGAAGTAGAGATATTTGATGATTGTGCAATGTTCAGCACCATTTGTAACTCTTCAGATACTGAAACAGTCCATGTTCAAATGCAACAAGATCTGGACAATATCCAGACATGGGCTGACAAGTGGCAAGTAACAACAGCACCACACAAATGCCAGGCTATGACCATTACCAATAAGAGACAATCAAACCACTGCCCCTTGACATTCAATGGTGTTACCACCACTGAATCACCCACTATCAACATCCTGGAGGTTATCATTGACCAGAAACTCAACTGGACTCCCAACATAAACACCGTGATTACATCAGCAGGTCAGAGGCTAGGAATACTGCAGCGAGTAACTCACTTCCTGACTCCCCAAAGCCTGTCCACCATATACAAGGCACAAGTCAGGAGTGTGATGGAATATTCTTCACTTGCCTGGATGAGTGCAGCCCCAAACAACACTCAAGTAGCTTGACACCATCCAGGGCGAAGCAGCCCATTTAATTGGCACTACATTCTCAAGCATCGACTCCCTCCACCATCTAAGCAGCAGTATGTACTATCTACAAGATGCACTGCAGAAATTGAAAGATCCTGAGATACCACCTTCCAAACCCACGACCACTTCCATCCAGAAGGACAAGGGCAGCAGATACATGGGAACACTACCACCTTCAATTTCCCCTCCAAGCCACTCACCACTCTGACTTGGAGATATATCGCTTTTCCTCAAAATCCTAGAACTGTCTTCCTAATGGCATTGTGGATCAAGGTGGACTGCAGCTCACCACCACCTTCTCAAGGGCAAACAGGGATGGGCAATAAATCCGGCCAGCCACCCACGCCCACATCCCATAAATGAATAAATAACAAAATAAAAACTGACCAGAGCACAGTAGACTATTCAAGTGGGGGAGAGAAGAAAAGACGAATATAGTAGTAATAGGGGATGACATAATTAGGGAATAGGTATCGTTGTTCTCTATAACAAAGATAAATAGCCTTAAAGGCTGTGCTGGCTACGCGGTGCCAATTATCAGGACCTCTCTTTGGACTGGAGAAGGACTTCGAGTGGGAGGGGAAGGATCCAGTTGTCATGGTCAAAGAGTGACCAATGACATAGTTAGGAGTATGAAAGTGGTTCTGCTGAGGTATCGGGAGTAGCTTGGGGCTAATTTAAAATGCACAGCCAGAATGTGTGGCTCAGAAGATTGGTGTAGGGGAGATGGATTCACTTTATGGAGCACTGGTACCAGTACTGAGGAAAGAAAGAGCTGCTCCACTGGAACGAGACCAGAGTCCTGGTGAAACTTAGAACTGGGGTTGTTGCTAGTGCTTTAAACTAATTAGTGGGGAGGAAGATTCGATTGAAGGAAAGTTTTTAAAAAAATCAGAAGGAAAATCTGACATTAGGTATGCAGGGCAGTGAAGAAGGGAAAAATAATCAAGTGAGATAGGGAGGGGTAGGGAATATATGTAAAAAAATGCAGCAGAAATTAGAACCAGAGTGAGTGATGATAAGGATTGGATATTGATGGCTGGCAACATTCAAGAAGAATAGGAAGCTAGATAAACACTAATACAGAGTAACACCTAATCAGATATGGCACTGCTGCAATAGTTAGAAATGACCTTGGTTCAAGATACCAGGATATGGGATTAGTTTGGATGCGGGTGAGGAATGATCGGGGAAGTCGTCAATAGGGGAAATCACCTACAGACCTCTTAACAGTAAGCACAAAGTAGGTAGAAATATACAAGATACATTGGGTGTTTATAATAAAAATCAGATTGATAATTGCAGCCTGGCAAGAAGATGACACAGTATTTCTGAGTTAGTTTTTTTTTACAGCAGCAACAGATTCTGAAACCAACCAGACAGCAAGTTATACCAGACACGATACTGTGTACCATGACAGGGTTATCTAAATACCTAAATGGAAAGGGACCTCCAGGTAGCAGTGACCATACATCATTGAATTTCATATGCATTTTGATAAGGAGAATAGGTTTGACACTAACATTTTAAACTTAAAGAAGGGCAACTGCATTTACGTGAAAATTGAGCTAGTTAGAGGATCTGGGCTACTTGGCTAGAAGACAAATCAACTGAGAAGCAGTGGCAGACATTTAAGGGGAGTATTTCAAAATAATCTTAATAAGTGCATTCCAACTATAAAGAAAAATTCTAAGTGCAAGATTCACCATCCATGGTTAAATAAAGTTAAAGAAAGCATCTAAATTGAGGAAACAGCACATAATTGTGCAAAGATGAGAGTCATAGAGTCATACAGTTGTACAGCATGTGAACAGACCCTTTGGTCCAACTCATCCATGCCGACCAGATATCCTAAATTAATCTAGTCCCATTTGCTAGCATTTGGCCCGTATCCATCCAAACCATTGCTATGTACCCATCCAGTTGCCTTTTAAATGTGGTAATTGTACCAGCCTCCACATTCTATACACACACCACCCTCTGCGTAAAAAAGTTGCTCCTCAGGTCTCTTAAAATCTTTCCCCTCTCACTTTAAACCAATGCTCTCTAGTTTTGGACTCCCCTACCCAGGGGAAAAGACCTTAGCAATTCACGTTATTGTTGCCCATGTCAGGTGATTGGACTGAACATACAAGATTAATCAGGGAAAGGAAATTCTGAGGAAGGGTCACCAGACCCGAAACGTTTTTTCTTCACAGATGCTGCCACCCTGTTGAGCTTTACCAGCAACTTTGTTTTTGTGCAACGAAATTACACTATTAAGGGGAAACAGGCTTGAAATGTAAAATTGGATAGCAATAGTTCCCATCTATTTAAAAAGGAAAAGATTAAAGTGAGCACTGATTGTATATAGTGGAAACGGGGATCTTCAAATTGACAACAAGGAATTGGCTCCTGAAATGAACAAACATTTTCCTTCTGTGGTCAGTATAAAGTTTTCAATAAACATTCCAGTAATAGCTGTAATTCAGGAATCACAGAATCCTCACAGTGTGGATGCAGGCCATTCAGCCCATTAAGTCCACACTGACCGTCCGAACAGCATCCCACCCAGACCCACGTACCTAAACTATCTCTGCATTTGCCATGGCTAATCCACCCCCAGACTGCATATCCCTGGATATTATGGGCAATTAAACATGGCCAATCCACCTAACCTGAACATCTTTTGACTGTGGGAGGAAACTGGAACACCTGGAGAAACCCAAACAGACATGGGGAGAATGTGCAAACTCCATGGAGACAGGCACTGGAGGCTGGAATTGAACCCAGGTGCCTGGCGCTGTGAGGCAGCAGTGTTAACCACTGAGCTACCTTGCACCCCGGTGTAGAGGAAAAAGGAGAGGGAATTGAATTTAGCAAAAGTATAATCTCTAAACACACAGTACTAAGCAAGTTGATCAAAGCAGCAGGTTGATAAGTCTCCAGGTCCTATGGACTAGGATTTGAAAATAAGTGGCTAATGAGGTGCTAGATGCATTGGTGTTAATTTTCAAAAATTTAGTAGACTCCAAATAGATTCTCTCAGTTTGGAAAATAGTGAATATAGCTCCACTAATCAAGAAGGATGGGAGAGAAAGCAGGAAAGTGTAGATCGGTTTGCTTGATGTTTGTTGTAGGGAAGGTGTTAGAATTGGTCATTAAGGAAGTTATAGTTGAGTATTTAGAAAACCTCAAGGTAATTGGGAAGAGATAGCATGCCTCTATGAAAGGAAAATGATATTCAACAAACATACTTAAGCTCTCTGAAAGAGTGAAACCTTTGCCAATAAAGGGAAGCCTGTAGATACACTATACTTGGATTTCCAGAAAGATTTGACAAGGCGTCACATAAAAAGTTATTCTGCAAATTAGGTGATCATGCTGTGAGGGTAATGTATTAGCATTAACAGAAGATTGACTGTCTGATAGAAAACAAAATACGTATAAATGGGTCATGTTCCAATTGGTATGGTGAAGAGTGTTCTCTTTTTTCATTAACGGAATGAGGGCGTTGCTGGCTAGGTAGCATTTATTGTTCATCCCTAGTTGCCCAGAGGCCAGTTCAGAGTCAACTATATTGCTGTTGGTATGGAGTCACATGGCCAAGATGGCAGTTTCCTTCCCTAAAGGACATTAGTGAACCAGATAAGTTTTTTCTGACAATCGACAATGGATTCATGGTCATCATTAGATTCTTCATTCCAGATATTTTATTGAATTCAAATTCCACCATCTGCCATGGCAGGATTTGAGGCCGGGTCCCCAGAATGTTATCTGCGTCTCTGGATTCACAGTCCAGCAATAATACCACTAGGCCATTGCCTCCCCAACATTATGCATTACTACAATATGATGGATTACCATAGAGGTCTGTTGTGAGACATTAGGATTTTATTATTTATATCAATAATTTATATATAATGATAGATCAATAATTTAAACAACGAAATTTGAGGGCAAGGCAGCCAAATCTGCAGATAACACAAAGAAAGGTAGGAACATATAGAACATAGAACAGTACAGCACAGTACAGGCCCTTCGGCCCACAATGTTGTGCTGAACTTTTACCCTAAACCTAAGGTAACGTCCACCCCTACCTTATACTATCATCCATATGCCTATCTAATAGCTGCTTAAATGCCCCTAATGAGGCCGGCTCCACTACCCTCTCCGGCAATGCATTCCATGCCCCTACCACTCTCCGAGTAAAGAACCTACCTCTGACATCTCCCCTATATCTACCTCCACTCACTTTAAAACTATACCCCCTCGTAATTGGTACCTCCACCCTATATCGTGAAAAAGACAATAGGAAGTTGCAGACAGATAGGTATGTAGAGAAAGTGGGAAAAATTCTGGCAAATGAAGTACAATTTGGAAAATATGAAGTTCTTCATTTTGACAGCAAGAATTAAAAAAAGGTATTGCTTAAATGAAGAATGATGCAGAATTTTAAGGTGCAGACATACCTAAGTACTTTAGCTTATGAGCTAGTAAAAGTTCGTATGCAATGGCAGTAAATTAACAAGGCGGCTAATGGAATAGTCTCCTTAATTCTGAGAGGAACTGAAAATAAGAGTAATGATATTATAGTTTAGTTATATAAGGCTCTGGTGAGACTCAAGGGGAGTACTGTGTGCAGTTTTGGTTTCCGCATTTATGGAAAAATGAAATTGCATGGAAGCAATTCAAAGATGTTTACTAGTTGGATCATCACCTGTCATCCCGGATACGGTAGAAAAATCCATAGCCGTTGTGGACCATAGGAAGGACAGCACCTAGGACGGTAGTATATCCAACAAGGCTGGTTGAAAGAACAAAGTTTCCTCCGCCACCACTATTAAAACAAAAGAAGTGAAGAAAGTAAATTAGTAGCAAGTTGTCAAGGAAGCATTCAGTGGGTTTACCTATACCTTACCTGGAACAAGTCATATTATTTTATTGCAGTTTGTAGAACAGGGAATAATTACCTTTTAGTAAAGGCAGCATCTAAATAGAGCTCCGGCACAGGAAGACCTTCCTCTGTAGCTATAAGCATCAGACCCAGGAGGTGTCGGTCAAAGCCTAAAATATAATGTAATTGGAGCTTACATTTCATTGTGTATAAAATCTGTACTATTAATTTAGAAATCACCAAAACTAACGTACTTACCTCTACCATTCTGACAGTCAGTCATTAGTTTGTGATGTTTTGCGAAAGATTTCATCATCAATTGTTGACGTTTCATATTCTAGGATACAGAACGAAGTAATTAAAACACTAAAGCTACTCAACATGGAGAGTTGGAAGATGATTTAGGAAAAATCTGTGATTGAAGAACCCATAGACTTATTCCTATTATAGCATAGTTTGGATGGATTAATTCAGTGTAATCTTAGTTTCACTGGTTGCACATTTTCCATTTCAAACACACATCATTGTCAAAGTAAATGAACAAGATATTCATATTTTCAGACTTAAACCTTTCTAAAATACAATTCATATTAGGTGACCATTAAGCTTAAGCTTGAAATATTTTTACATCAGTTAAATGAAAACATTTTGTCTTTGATTAAAGGCTTGAATGAGCTTAAGAAACAATGATGACACAAAGGTATACTTTCGCCCGGCCCTTTGTTCATTTGTTAGGAAAATATCATTATGAACATAAAATAAGAATGGCTACTTTATAATAGGTAAATTTTTGATGTTTATATTAATGAATTGATTAAAATATACTCCAAATGTTTAAAGACCTTAAAGACTATAGTACCTATTATCTGAGCACATTAAAAGAATATGCAGCATATTTGACTTTAACAAATGACATTCAAATGTGTACAGGATTGTGCTGATCTAATAAATAAAGAATGAGCTAATTTACATAAATAAATAAATAATGAAAAATAAACTGCAAATATCAGATGGTGAGATAGAGCATTTAGGCCTTAAACTAGTAATATCTCAATAAACACAAATAAGAATCGGTTACTTCTGATCAAAGGGTATAAAACATGATTTAAATGTTCAAAATTCCAAGAAAAAATTAGCTGCTATTAGAAAGCACTGTTCAAAGAAAATAAACAGCAATGGCCCTGAGAAACAAAACAAAGCTGTACAGCTGAATCAAATTTTATTGGAAGAAGAGTGACAAGACAACAAAATCCAGCATATTAATTTAATGCGCATTAGAAGAAAATGGTAGTCAAGTCAAATTAATTTAATAGCTTTAACAGGTAGTTGGGGTTGAATAGCTCCTCTCTGCTGCATCACTCTATGATCTGTACAAGCTTACTAGTCCGACTGGCATTCAATATCAATGAGCCCAAAGCGATGTTTAAGATATAAACAAAATTTGTTCCTAGCAAACTTCTAGAATCCATTCTGAACTAAAATAATAAACGTCATGTCAATTATTCATTTTGAAATTAAACTGAATAAGTGCCTTGAAAGAGCCTGGGAATTATAAAGTAAAGGCCGTAACAGATAATTAAGTACTCCAAGGGATACTTATACCATTAGGAAATTAAATGCATTATGTATGAGAAGTAACTAATAATGTGAATTGTTAACTGAGCTAATATCTTGATAATCTGCCCATTTATCCCTTGTGTCAGTGAGAAAATTAGCAGAGCTTTACCATGCGATTTCAACTGTATTAGCCGTTTCCGTCAAGTGACTAAGTGGGTTCAGTAGAATGGGATCAAACAGCTGCAGTACACCTACATTCCTGCTGGTGGCATTTTTGCTTGTTGCCCATCCCTTCTATTAGGATAAAGACATCATGTATAGAGTTTGACTAATCGGTAATCTGGGTACAAGTTCTGCTGGTTTTCTAAAGAACAAAAAGAACAAAAGAGAAGTAGAGCACAGGAACAGCCTTCCAAGCCTGTGCTGATGATCATGCCTAACTAAACTAAAAAACAAATGTTTTGCCCTTCCACATCCTTCTGATGGCGTGATGACCAAAACTGCACACAATACTCCAAATGCAGCCTAACAAGGGTTT